ATTATAAATAATAGTAGATCAAAAATAAATTAAATGTATTTATTTTAAATAAATAATAATATTAGAAATTTATTTCTATTCAACTTAAGCTAAACCGTCGCATTTGAGCTAGTCAAAAAACTTACCTGTACCTCATACACCAAGGCATATCATAACCTACATAAGCATAAATATGTCAAGCTCTGTGTATATGTGTGTGTGTGCTTACTACTTTGACAAAACCTTCCAAAGGTAGCATAGGTAAAAGACAAACTTTTGCGCCTCTACCCAAAACTAAGTAATTAAATTATGCTGAAAGTTGCACGCTTGCTCGCGTGTGTAGGCTCCGTAGAGAGGGACATAATGCTAAATCAAATAATTATTTCAAAAAGTTTGCACATCAGCTACAAGTTTTTAGATGCACCCAACAGAATAAGAAAGTAAATAAATACCGTATGTAAATTTCCATGGCAGACTGAAAATGTTGTTGAAGTCTCCTATTTCCTTCGTATTCCTTGGCTTTGTTCTCTGCCTAAAGCACTATAGAGCTGCTCATGTAATTGGTTAATCTCACCCGCAAATGATAAAACACACAGTTATTTCATATATATTTTTTAAGGATTTCAAATTCATTTTATTGGTTTTTTTGTTGTTGTTGTTTGTTTTGTTTTTTTCTTTGCTTCTTCTTCCTGCTTTTTTTCATCCATTCATTACTTATAATTGGTTTACTTGCTCGTAATATTCATTTACTTTTACTTTTATTGTATGCTTGGTTTTGTTTGATTTATTTTTGTTTTTCTTTCTTTCTTTTTTTTTTCTTTTTAAGACCTTACATCTTGCTTGTTGTTGGTATTGAAATTTATATATATATATATATATAAATATATATATACGCACTTGCTATATAAACTTAAATTTAAAAACTAAATTAAATCATTTGAATTCTCTTCTCTCTTCGCTTCTTTTTTGCTTTTCTTTTCTTTTCTTCTTTAATCAGATTTTACATATTTATAAATATATGTACCTCGAATTTAGCACGCACACACAGGAAACAACAACAAAAGGGTTTTTCGCTCGCTCGCTTTCGAAATTCTTTCACAATTTGATTTTGCTGATGCCGACAAAGAAGTGATTTGCTTGCTTTAATTAATTACAAACTATAAATTTGTTATACAGTTATTTTTATTTTTATTTTAATTATTTTTTTTTTGCAGAGCGCAGATTGTGTTGCTTAAAAAGATTCGCTTGGAAGTTATACAAAATTATATATGTATATAATATAGAGATACATACTTGGATATATCTATATAGATTTTATACATACATAAAGCATAACGCACAAATGTTTTTTTTTTTTTTAGTCAAATATTAAAGCTCAGGTAATTGTTTTGTAGAGCAATAAATTACATAAAATATTAACTAAAACAAATATAATAAACAAAATTGCACAACAGAAAAATAATTGTTTTTATATTATATGTTATAAACACAATTTGACTGACTTTTTTCATGTATACATACATATGTATTCAATTTACATATATATGTATATGTATATACACCTGCGGTCAACAAAATAGTAGTAGCTACAGTTTTGTCGGACAAAAAATAATTAGTGATAAACTCAATTTCCCGAAACACATATTATATGAATATATTTTGTTAATAATTTTTAGCAATTGTGCTCAATTGCACTATTTTTCTGACCGCAGCTGTATGTATATTTTTAAATGTATTAATTTGTTTGCTCAGACTACATTAGACTATTTATATGCAGGTCTGTATGCATGCCTATACTGTTGTGTCTGTGTGTGTGTGTCGAATAAATAATTGTACATTTTTCTTTGTTTTTTTAACTTTTGTTCTTAACAAAAAATTGAATTAAACATGTAGAAACTATGTGATGTGAAACGTTCAGATTTAGGGGTCACGCCTTGTGCCCTAAAAATATTCAATTATGAAGTTCTTGTTTCTTTCAGTGTAATTGATTTGTTTAGTTAATGCCTATTTATGACTTTTTGTCGCAACTAGTAGAAAAATTAATAGAGTCGTTTTAGTTTAAAATATACGTTGTACATTTTATTATAAATAAGTTTTTTTTATTATTTTTTATTTTCATCCTTTTTTTGTATGTGTTATGATTTCGTATTTGTGTTTCACAAAAATTTATTGAAACGCTGAATAATTAAAAATAAATTAACAAGAAGTACAGCGATTAAAAAATAAAAGTTACACGTTTTAATAAATCTGTTAAAGTAGATTAAAAAAAAAATAATAATAATAAAATAAAGTAGGCTGCTCCATATTGAAAACCCCTAAGATCTTTTTTAGTTGCATATATATATAGTATATGGTATATGCCAAAAATTTTAATAGAAATGTAAAACAATAAATATTTAAATGATTTTTTACTCGAATATATATGTATATAACGTTTTGTTTTTATTTTTGTTTTTATTTTTTAACTTGGCGCGTTCTCTTTCTCTCACGTTGCTCTCTTTTTCGCTCTTGCACATATTTTGTTGTTGATATTATATGGATGTAAGTGTATAATATTTAATATTTATATATATAGACTTTTTGACGCCCCCTTTTTTTGTTCTCTTTAATTCTACGGTTTACGCTTTTTTACACACAAATTTCAGTTGGTTTTTTTTTTAATTTTAATTATTTTTTCTTTGAAATGTATATATATATATATTTGCGACTTATAAGTAAACATTCAGATTTTGCTTTTTTTTTTTGCTGCGTTTGTTTTTTTTTTTTTTTTTTTGTTTAATTTATGTTTTTCATGTTATTATTTATTTTAGAATTTGAGTAGTTGATGTGGTTCTGGCGCATTTGGCCCTAGATCCTGCGAGTTATACGTGGATATATATATATATACGCCTGACATTTTTTTTTATTATTATTTTAATTATTATGTATATGTGAATATGTGGTATATGTATATATGTATTCGGTGAGTGCGCTTACTTTTAGGTGCCACTGTTAATGAGCGTGTATTTGTGTGAGTGTCTATTGGATGTTGATTAACTTTCGGCTATTACTCTAACCACAAATGTTTTCTGTGTATGTGTGTGCGTGTGTCTGTTTATTTATTGTTGCACGTCGTCGCTGATTGTACAACATTTATGGTACATATCTATCGTATGTCTAAGACGCCTAAAACATCAAGAGCTAAACGCAAGCTCCAGTTAATAGCGGATTACATTTTCTCATCTTTTTTCGATTTTTTTTTTGTTTTTTTTGTTGGTGTTGTGGGCGCATAAGAATTGCAGTTCTTGGAAAGTTTTTCTTTATTTTTATCTATTTTTCTTTTTGGCTTTTGCAACACTGAATATATATGCTTATGTAGGCAACACTGCGTGTGCTTACTGATGCAAATTTCTTGTAGTTTTACCTATTTTCTTGCTTCATAATATTTCGCAGTTTTAATTTTATTTTTTGAATATATGAGAACTGTACTTAATGTGAATTTAATTATCCGTTTCTGCCTGTATTCCGTTATTTCTTTTTTATTACTGTTTATTTTTAATATTACATTTTTTTTTCAAGCACACTAAGTGTGCCATAATTTTTTTAAAAGTTTTTTTTTTTACATTTTACGTTTGTTTAATTTTTAAATTAATAAAGCGTTTCATACTTTCACAAATAAGTGTTGTTCTTTTTGTTGCCAGCTGATAATTGAAAATAATAAAGATTATTAGCCCAATTTAACAAAGTTCTTGTTTCGTCTTAGACAGATTTGGTAAACATATATTCTTTTTTTTTCATGTGTTTTTGTTGTTGTTGTGTGTGTTTTCAGTTAAACTAAACTATGTACTTTACAACTAAATATCTGTAGTCTCGTGGTTATACTATACGCTATATGTTATGAATGATTATTTATGTATATATGCCATAAGGTTAAGAGTTACCTATTACATTCTTGATTTTGTTATTATGATTATTATAATTATTATTATTGCTGGTTGATTACCCTCCACACGTTAGCTCTTACGTTCTCTAACTTCCAAGTTCTTTGTTTTTATTTGAAGATATAAGAAATATATTCTAGATCAAATTCACAATAAATTGTTTGTGTTTGTGTTCTGGCCTCGGTAGTACGTTGACCAGTTTGGGGAGGGAGAGTCTAAGTTCCATTTAGGGTAAACGCTGCTGACATATTTCGTGTACGCACTGCAAAAGAAGAAATAATTCATTAGCTTTAAACATTTTCACATTTAGAAATCTTAAATACTTAATATATAACTTAAAATTATATGCATAAATATTTTATATACAAAGCTAACTAATATTTTTTTTTTTTTTTGCCTAGCTCCACTTATTATGCATAAACTTTTTTTTCTCTGCCAATCAGCAACAATTTTATTTTGTTGAGTTAACCTTGACTGCGTCTATATTTGTGTGGCTGACACTTCCTATTTGAGTTTTTTAACCTCAGCCCCTGACTAACAATCATAAAAAACCGTAGCTTAGACGAGCTCTCAATAAACATAAAACGCCAAAGATTGCCTCAGATTTTGATGGGCCTTTGCGGCTTACTTTTTGGGCAGACAAACTGTTGCCATGGCTTTCAAGCGACGATGCATTGAAAAGTTCAAGGCTAAGATATTTTGTTGAAATAGGTTAGGCGTGGGCCAGAACTGGTTTGAATAATAATAATAAAATGTTTAAATATTTTGATTGCAAATTAAATAAAATTATTGTGGAAATATCAGCAAACTCTTGATGGATTTAAAAATAATTATTTAGAATTTATGAAGCATATATAAGAATTTTCCCAGTTTATAATTTAAGTAATGCAAAGAGCTCAAGGTGAAGTTTTTACTATACAATAGGTTCGATTTAAGTTAGTGTTTAGAATTAAACTATATATAGACATTGTGAACTTTGAAACATAGAGTCTCTTATATTATATTTTAAGCATTCAACTAACATATTTCCTATACAAAATCTTCAAGTTTTTAGAAATTAAATCTTATAATAAATCAATTGATTAATTTAGCATTGACTTTATTGCATTCGTTTATTAATTATAAAATTTATTCTTAACCTTTGCTCAGAGAAACCAATAAATAAAAGTTATAGGCAAATAACATTGATAAAGAATGAACATAAATAAATCTGCAAATGGTCAAGAAATATATATATTATTTAAATTTATTTAAATCTGCATCTCCCAATACTTTATACATTTGATTTCTGAATTAATTTCGAATAGTTCATGTAATGTAACTAGTCATGCCACACGCATTGCTTGCCAATCATTAATTAATATTTAGCCCACATAATTACAATCAAATCACCACATATATAAATATATAGACTCATGCCAGCTAATATTTGTTGTGTTTTGTGCCTTGCCACAGCATATTGGCAGACTCACGCACACGCACACACACACACGCATATATATAGATAAACACATGTATATATACACTTTTATAGATTCTGCTCCTTATCAGCCTCGCACACACACCAAACAGTCTGCTGCCTGCTGGTGGGTGACTCTGACGTAAGCAGCTGGGCGTGCTATATTTCTTCTCATTTATTTATTTTATTTTTTTTTTTGCAAAAACAATAACAAAGCGAAAAGACCGAAAAACGTAACAAAAACAACATAATAAAGCAAGTTGAAGTGTTTTTATCGAACAAACTCAACTGCCAGATATCCTGTACAGAACAAACACGCTGACAAGACTAACTTTTGTGGGTTTGAGTATACTCAAGCACGCAATTTTTCAGTTCTCTCTCTCTCTTTTACCCTCTCTCTCTGTGCTTACTCTTCCCACAGGTTATGCAAAAGTTTGCTCTTTTTTTTAACAATTGTAGCCTCATAATTGGCAGCGTCTGTGCGAACTATAAACTATATTTTGCTCTTTATTTTGAGGGATTTTTGGGCAATTTAATTTCAAAGGTAAAATTTCCTTTATCTGTTAGACTAGTAAACTAATTAAATTAGGGAATTTAACTAGCAACGCCAATACTAAGTTGAATTGAAAAAAAAAGAAAAAACACATTAAAAAAATTTTCTGAAACTAAAGCAATTAAATTTAAATTTTTGAATTTATATTTATTAAAATTTAAAACTAAAAAATGACTTAAGTAAAAAGAGAAAATATCAATAATATTTAGCTTAAAATATTTTAAAAATAATTGTAGCTGTGAATGATATAATAATATTGTTTGTTTACTGCTAATTTAATTTATAAATAATAATAATTTTTTATGTCAAATATTTAATTTAATAAAATATATTCAATATATAATTAATAAAATAATATACAATTATTTAGTTATAATTAATTTAATTTATAAATAATAATAATTTTACCAATAAGTATTTTTTATGTTAAATATTTAATTTAATAAAATATATATAATATATAATTTTAAAAAATAATATAATATTTATTTATTTATAATTAATTGCATTTTTGAATAATAATAATTTTAACAATATATTTTTTGTATATGTATTAAATACTTCATTAAATCAATTAAATTAATTATTTAATATATATAATTAATGAAATAATATAATTGCATTAGTAATTAATTTAAACTTAATTGATTCCATATGACTTAAAAGTTTTTAAATGATTTTTATTGTAACTTTTAACTCAAAAAAAAAAAAAAAAAATCCTCAAAGGTTTCCACTTCAATTCTGATACGTATATAAACCGTATCATATCACTCCAACGCCTTTCTCTCTGCCATCAATCTCACTTGCATATAACCAATCTACCCTTCATTGCACGCATTCAATGGGTGCAGCGGGTATAAAAAGCGGCAGCAAAAGTTTTGTATTTTCAGGCGGCCTTTTATCACTGAAACAAAAGCCGTCATTCAGCGGACCGGCGACGGGCTGTTGCCTGCACCCACGCCAAAACATCACAAACAACAACAACAACAACAACAATACGCTATGTAACACCAAAGCATTGAAGAGCTAAGATATATAATACCACCAAATATATTTGATATATGCACAGATATATATTTTATAGATATACAATATATATTTCATATACATATATCCACATGATATACATATATATATATTTGTGCAATCGTCAAATCGCTTAACTCTTCTAGTTTGTTGTAATTGTAGTCGGATATAGTATTACATAAACTCCATTAGGTATTGTTGGGCGATCCGATGTGCGTCACAATACAACAAACGGCTCAATTCACAGCTTGGACAGAAAAAAAAAACAAAACTTTCACTTGTTGTGTGATTTTTTGTTGTTTTTCTCTTTTGCTTCTCTTAGCCTTGAAATATCATAATGCTCATTGTATTGCCAATAGCAAAGGAATGTGCATGAAATGAAAGGCACTTGAAGTAGACAGAAAATATGCAGAAAAATGTTCATATTTCCGGGCAAATTAAACCATTTTTAGCTACACTTAAGTTTGAAAGAGATAAATGTTTGTGATTAATGACGTAAAGCCCATTTAAAAGTAAATCTGATGTGAAAGTAAAAAAAAAACACAACTTTTTTTGTAAATGCTTATTTACTGAAAGGAGTATATTATATTTTCAGTCATTCTGTTGCTCAAGTCCAAATAGAGCTAGATATTTTACATTTCATTGGGTCACTCCTCTAGGGAGAATATTCAATGCTTGAAAGTATTGAGCAATTTACGGCTATTCACAAAAATGCTAAAAATGATTGAACATAGAAATAAAGCAAAATATCTTGGCGTCAAATTTTTCCCATGGGCAGATTTTATCAATACCCCTTATCTGAGCTAAACATATAGTATTATATACGATTATTACTGTTAGCCTGCACATGGGTGGTAGGACATTAGAAAAGAAATATATAAAACAACTCTTTAAAACAGATTTAAGTATAAAAAAAGTATTAGTTTTTAATAAATTAAAGTGCTATTAAATAAAGGAGTATTATGCAGTCAGTAGCACCCCAACTACTACAGTCTCACTTGTTCACTGTTTGCTGAATGTCTTTATAAATTCTTAGGAAAACTGGAGATAAAACAATGCACGTTATCTGAATATACATACTCTTAAACCTCTCTTATCTTAAAATATGCTGCTAGAGAAACTTGGTCAACTATTTCTCTTCTTCTTTTCATATACAAAGTTTTTATGGTAACAAAACTATGTACTCCAGCAAATTCAACAACATTCTATGTAGTTACGATGACTAGTTATTCTAAAATAAATATGATTTAGCTTACAATGCAGTCAGCTCTGGTACTTTCCCATTTATATCTAAAGAAAAGTTACCATCCTATCACAATTTAATGTGGGTTAGTCTAAATTAGAGACATTTGTTTGACGAGATATGAATACCTTATCAAAAGCGTCAGTTTTCAAGTAACTGAAATTAACTAGACTCAACGAAACTCAGCTAACTAACTAACACATTTATGTGTATTATATGTGTAAAAAGTTTAAATAACTCAAGTAATTGAGTCTGCAGCGATGTGTGCAGAGCTCAAAAGCCAGAGCACTCTCTCCTCTCCCTGTTACTCTCTCTCTCTCTCTCTCTGTCTATATACTATATATGTGTACGTGTGCAACTCTTTGCTTTCTGTGCTTTTTTAATAAGGCCAACCAAGTGCACTACAGAGCGCTGCCTACCGTTCCAGCTGCTGACCTTTTTCCTGACTCTGCCTCTACCTCTATCTCTACCTCTACCTCTTTCTCTACCTCTGTCTCTACCTCTCAATTTCACTGCATATTTCATGAAGTACAGCGAGACAAACTGCATTTTAAAAATGCGTAAATATCACCTGGGGAAAAACAACAACTGGACTGACTTAACGGCACTCTGGTTAACTACATGCGATATATACCCAGGTACAGCCACAGAGATAACATCGACTTTACATATGTAGCTGTGAGCTAGATGACAAAGGAAGGAAATTGTGGATTTGAAGCTGATATCACGCGCAGCTCAATATCGAAAATGTTAAACATTTGGCTTTATTTAACATTTTTCAGGTCTTAGAGGCGAATGGGTATGTTAGTGTGCTGTCAATTAGTTAAATGGGCTAAACAAACAAGATACTTAGCAGAAGCTAGTAAAAGCAACTACTAATAAAGACCTTTGATAATGTGGCCTTGAGGCAAGTGGGTATATTAGTGCAGTATACAAGCTAAGCATGTTGATTATTTCAAGTATACATATGTAAATTATGTT